AGTTTTGACGCGCATAAACTATTATATCATAAATATATTGTGAGTACATGGTCATTATATTGTATTTCTTAAAAAGAAACTGCATGCAGGTCTGACCCTTTTTTATGCCTACTATAATTGTTCTTAGTGCACGTTTTTGAATAATAATATATTATAATACATTATATATATTATAAAAATAATATGTTATAACCTTTTTTAAACGCCAGCATCTTGTATGTAGGTGGTCAGCAAATGGACGCAGCGCTGTTAAATGACTGTGTTTGTGTTCTTTTGTTTGCTGGTTATATGATTTGTAGATAATTACCTAACTAAAATTATTTAGTAATCAATTTCGATTTTTTGTCCACGTGGATCCCCAGGGGGATTTAGTTGGAGTTTTGTGTCCACATGGATCCCCTGGGGATTCATTTGGGTTTTTGTGTTCTCAAGGATCCCGTCAAAAAGACCGAGGGATGCTGCCATCGCGCCTGTCACCGTAAAACATAAGTTGACAAGTCTCATGTGCCTGTAATTTCCCAGTGCCCTTACACTTCAAAACCGAAACGCAGCAAATGCTCATATTACTGTTCGGCGGCAGAAATATATAAGGTGTTTTTTCAACAAAAGACAAGATACAGTGTACAACAGATGAATGGTGTTGGAATCTTGATTATCGTGGACTGTAGATGTATTCAAACAAGCTTTCACAGGACAAAAACTTATATTTGCTTCAATTTTACAACGCACACACGAGGATAGTCGAGGTAAAAGTGAAAAGTATGAAAACCATAGATGAAAAAATATATTTTTGTTGCCATACTGCGGCCAAGAAAGAAAGAAAAAAAAACAAATATGAAAGTTGTATAGTTAAACAGTAACTGTTAGGCTAAATGTTATGTAATTTATAAAATGACATTTATGTATTCTAACCCATCAAACTTATTAACGCTACATGTAACATATTATTATTTTGAACTTATTTTGAAAACAAAAGATGCAACAATAATAGTCTTTTCCTTTACCTTGATAATTTTGCATTAGTTCCTAAGTCCTTATATCGTATATAAAATAAAAGCTTCAATAATCTCAGTACAGAGTACTAAAAAAACCGACCTCAAAAGTACGTGGAATTACGTCTATTTGCTAAGTTTCATTGAAATATCCCCTAGTTCGCCACTATCCAGGACTTGATACTGGAGATAATAAAAATAGGTTCTCACTACGACACTACTCAAAGTATATCGAGAGAAAAACGCCTTGAATTGGAGAAATAGCAAAATCAACTAAATCATTGCTAAAAGTAATTGCTCCTAAATTAAAGTTAGGCGCTATTTATAAAAAATGAATCTTCATGCGTGAACAGCCACCCTTTGAGGTGGATGATTTTCTTCAAAATGAAATGGGACCACTATGGAAATACCCCCTTTCCAACAAAAAAAGAATCATGAAAATCGGTTCACAAATACCGGAGTTATCGCGTAACATACATACAAAAAAAAAGAAATTACATTGTTTAAGAAAACCTTAACACAAACGTCTAATCAATTCTACACTAGTACTATTTGTAATTACTAATAAAAATCAACTGTCCTGGTGTGTACGTTGTAAAATTGAAGTAAATATAAGTTTCTGTCCTGTGAAAGCTTGTTTGAATACATCTACAACCCACTATAATCAAGATTCCAACAAATGGTACTCGTACTTTTTACCCCTTGCTCGGTACAGGACAAATTCTGAATTCGACGGATCGTGATTCGGCAGATTTGCTACTCGACGGGGTCGTGGATTGGGTAGATTCATGGATTCGATAGATTAGCTACAGGGCAGAAAAATTACAGTTGTGCACAAAATATCCAATTTTACAATAATAAAACTATCCACTTAGAAGACGCCTTCAAGTCCAGGTGGTCCGGACACTTACTATTAGGCTGTACCATTATTGGTATAATTGGCACTGATTTGTGTTACACTTTCTTTTTTTATGTCGGTTTCAATATTGCAAAGGAATACAGATATGGACAGAATCACTTCACTACGAAATTTTGTTATCGAATAGCAAGCCTCCCAAATACAATAATGGGTTTTTAATCGCCCCCGAGAGAGTCTATTAATTATGCAATGCTATTTAACAACCAATTTACCAATTTCCCGATTGTTTAAAAGGAAATTCTGAATAATTCTGAGCGAATGCGCAAACTGCTATTCAGATCAGATTCAACGAAAGAACTTTGTCAGCCATTGATTGGAACGCTTTTCTCAACTTAAATATCATAAGAAAACACAAAATGAGGATTTCAAATGTCAGCATCATCATTTCTGCTGAAAGACGTCCGTCCACTGCTGGACATAGGCCTCCTCCGAAGAACGCCAAAACAGCCAATCGTGTGCTGCTTGCATCTAGCGGATTCCCGCAACCTTCACCAGGTCATCAGTCCACCTTGTGGGTGGTCTGCCTATGGTGAGTCATTCGGTACGCGGTCACCACTCGAGAATTCTTTGGTTCCATCGGCTATTTGTTCTGCGAGCAATGTGTCCCACTCACGGGAACTTAAATTTTGTACATAACTTTAAAATAATACACAATATTTTTTATTTAACAGATATATTTTGTTATTTACATCACATTTTGGAAAAGCGACTCACAAATAAACAAAAGGCATTGTCGACAATATCTTTAGATATCATGATGTGAGGCTTTTTGTAAAAACAAAACTTATTTAGAACCTATTTTATTGTTACGCTTACTCATGTAGTGACAATTAATTCGTACCCTTAATAATAATAAAGTGGCGTAATTTGAAAAATAACATTTGTGGGAAACAGAAAATTAATTTTATAATGTACGAAATAAAATTAGGTAATACATTGTTTCTCATATAAATTAGAATTTTGTCATATTTCAGCAGACTAATAGCATATAAATAGTTAGTGTTATGTTTTTAACCGACTTCAAAAAGGAGGAGGTTCTCTATTCGAATGTATTTTTCTTTGTATGTATGTTACGCGATAACTATTAGTGATAATTTGTGACCCGATTTTGACGATTTTGGTAATCAATTTCAACAAAACTTGACAAATAGATGTAATTCCACGAATTTTTGAGATCGGTTTTTTTTAACGTTTTTATGAAACGTTACAAATTTATCTATTTGTTAGTACCCAAAAAATATTTTTTGTACTTCGTCACTTTATTACGAGGGCGAGATTATGCACTATTACAAAAATTAATTATCGTGCATTATATATTTAATAATCTTCGGTAGAGAGCTACAAATTAAAACATAAAACTAAATTAGTACACAAGTGATACAATGCAATTATTCGTAACCATTGTGCGTTAGATGTATAACAAAACTACGACGTGACAACCATGAAGACCGTCTTTTCCCAATCATGTTTGCCCATACGGCTTGTCTCGAGCAACTCGAGCGCGAGCCGGACACTATTGAGTCAATTCGGACAACCTAAACTAAATTTAACAGTCCTGTCGGATCTCAGGAATTTTTATGTGTTCGATCTATATATTAATCGTAACTAGTGAAGTTATTTCACAAAAAATATACAGGATTATTTGCAAAATACTAACAGGCCTCTTTCTTTCTTTACAATATGTAGTTTTATCTAGATCGCTCTAAACGATAATAACTCTGTGCAGGACGGGGATGTGATCGTCGCGCAGGACGCTTGCATGTTTGAAACTACTCTACCAAATATAGATACCAAAAAGTGTCAGTACAACAAAATCTTTTTATTTTTGGTAAACTTATTATGTTTTGTCAAAATGTGTACGGTGCAATATCGTACATTGTGTTTATGCAGCATTTTACGTGTTCATGAGACATTTAGTTATAATTTAGGTTTAGTTCACAATCAGCTATCGCGCAGTTTACTCATTTCACGCCTATCAAATGTATAATTATTAGTTTTAAGTCAGAACTAATAAGCATTCTTAACAGTTATCATACTATCGTTTATGAGTGTATGGAACACCGTACAACGGTCATGGAACAAAAGTTGTTGATTATGATGTTAATAATAAATTCTTGGGAGGTTGTTAGTATTTTAGAAATAACCCTGTATATCACGGTGGTTAAACATCGTGAAATATCATACATATAATTCGCGGTGACCATTAAATTCCCCGTGGAACACCCGCGCAGGACATAATTGCCACCCAGGCCATAATCGCTACCTTTTTGTACCGACGACGTTTTGTGACGCCGCGGAAGAGAATTTTTGTAAGAACCTATCCACACGGCATTTCATGAACGCGCGTTTATGTCGCTACTGAATTTCTGAACATGTGCAAAGGTTTCCTGGTTACGACAGAACCTCGTTTAAAATTCGTTAAAGCGCATCTGCGAGGGAAAAAACCTCGTGTGCGAACACTCTAACTTGTACTATGCTGTGTTTGTCACCGTAGAATAGACCTGTATTGATAAATCAATTGTAATGATCCGGGGCGATCGGGTCAAACGATTCGTTCATTTGCACTTGTCCCTCCCGATCACGAATGCTCTATCGAACAAATGTTCTCGGGAGAACGAACAAGACAATAATAATAATTTTCAGTTGCCGAGTGTGATGTGAATTGTTGAAAAACCTCTAAAATTATAAACATAAAGATCAATTTTGCGGGCATGACCAGCAATGGGTCGAACAAAAATTATCGAATATTTTGGAGTACCGCGACTCGGGTGCGTATATGACTTCCCGTATACAGTACGTCCCCCAAGGAGAGACGAGTTCGGTACCCTTTTCTAAGGGTCTAAACAACTGACATACCGAAAGTACGTCCTCCGAAGTGACAAAATAAATACGCCTTTCCAGCTACCACATAAGTTTAAGCGATTAAAAAGCCGTATTTGGTAAGTCCATTAGGGGACGAATTAGGTACGGGTTTTCGCAAGAAACACTGGTAAAAAAGCGTATCTGATTCGTCACGTCTCAAGTAATTACTCAAACAAAATACCTGCTATAATATAGAATTTATGTATTTATTAAAGTTAAAAGGAATACAATTACTAAATTAATCATTATCAATATTTTTATATTTAAACAGATTTCGCGCAAAATAATTCGCACAGCGCCTACTAGCGAATTATTATTATTATTTGTTTCGATCGAACGCAATAGACGCCGCTTTACCGTTGAAGTAGCATGTCGTTTACTCCTATTCCTTGAAGATTCACCTTTATATAGTGCAGGAATAGTTGTGACGCGACCTAGTCGTGTTGTACACCGTAGCATGCACTAAATAATTATACTCAGATCTTATCTCTTATGCTTATTATTCTAAATGTGATTTCATATATTATTTTGATAATAACAATCAATGTTTTTAAATTATTATGAGAACTACTTTCGTACTGAAAACAAATATAAAATACATGTTATTTATAATTGCCATTGACTCTGTTCATGTTATTAAAAACAAAAATATAATTAATAAAAAAAGACACTAGACTAAACATCTTTTTCTCATTGTGATTGATTGCTACACTCTGCGATGAAATGTTTATTATTTGTTACTTATGTAAATGACAAATTGGTTATGTTTATATAATTACTAGAAATCGGAACAGGTAAACATTTACCTAAGCATCAATGGATACATATATAGTAGATAATACCTCCCTCTGAAATTCCGGATTTATTGTACTTGATTTTGTTGCAGATTTTTGATGTGTAACGACCTCTACGATCGTGTATTTTGTTTTCATATATGTGCCAGACAACGAATGACCTGGTCTCAAACAAGGGAACGCCTTGTCCTGAGAGGACGCCTTGTCCTAAGAGGACCAGAGCAACAGAACTCACTCTGGAGTAATCTCAGAACACCCAGGTCAGAATCAATTTAGAAAAATTCATTTCCCAAATTGATATCTTCGCAACTAGCGCCCTCAATGAAATATTTGGGTTTTATTTTTATTTACTCCATTTGAAGTTTACGTAAGTAAAGCTCCTCCGCTCAGATTTAATACTTAACGTTGACGGCGACGTGAATGAAACAGATATCATCTTTTTAGATTCGAAATAATAAGGTAATTTAAACATTTCTATACTTCGTTCCATCCTCCCAGTTAAAGTTGTACGAATTTATATGTAAATCATAGAAACTTATCAATGTTCGTGTTATCAATAACAGAAAAAAACATGGCGATGACCCAAAATTAAATATGTTAGCCTTTACAGCCTTTCCAGTACATTAAAGAGCCTAGAGTTGTGAAGACGTTTGCTGTATGAAGAAGAATAATTTTGTTACGGGTTGTCTCACAATAAACTGATTAGACAACAAATCAAGGCATTGACCAGCTCCATGATGAGACCGACGCAGGAGTAGATTTATTTCTCAGATACTAATCAAATGGTCGAGTTCGACTTTCCGTTAGAGTAATTAGTTGAAACAATAAGTTTTTACAAAAAAAAAAAAAAACCCCATACATATTGAACCTTTGATATTGCTGTAACTTCGTTTTGATAAGGGAACAATTTTTTCTAGCATAGTACAATTTAGGTACATTTATTTGGTATGAAATTCGACTGGATTCATTAAGATACTCCGTCATTTTGACTCACCTTCACGCAGCAGACTGTATAAAACGGCGCAAGGTCGATTGAAGGGAATTAATTATTAAAACTATAAGAAAACAAATATAAAATAATTTAAACATCAGCAGGCAATTCCCAGTCTACTTCGTCGTTGTATTTCTCATCGTCATTTAGTTTTTTGAATGCCTTTGGTATTTTCGACAGGTAACCTGAAAACAAACAAAAGGATTTCGAAATGTATAAGTTTTACTATGTCACTCTTACAGTGAGGTTAACTTTCGAGTTTGACAGTTGGACATAGACCTTTAAAGGACGTCTCAATCTGTGTACAAACCCGATTAGACCTTTCCCTCATTTCCATATTCTTATACTATGAATAATTTAAGCAATCTGTTACATTTATCCCCTAACGTCTATTGTCACTTAAAACTTTACGGTTAGGAGGTAATTAGATCGAAATTACTCGAAATATTAGCGTGTATAAAAGAACAGAAGCCACATGAGTGAAAATAACAGACAGTAAACCATATTTACACCTTTTTAATTAAAACACTATTATTCTCTACTTCATAGAAAAAAGACTCACGACGTTGTACACCTTGGGCCCTGAGCTTAAACGCTGGCCGAGCCGGTTTAAACAGGTTTCTCTCTGTATACGACGAAACCGCCAATATACATATCATAACGCGGTTGTATGAAGCTCTCTCTCTGTCCCGTTTCTTTACTCATGTGTTGACGCGAACGAAGGAAATGAAAGGAATGAGTCAGTTACAGAACTCATTGGTAGTCAACAACTACAACTACATCAACCCATTAGATGTCTCACTGCGGATCGAGGCTTCACTCGTTTTTACAAAGGTTAGTGAACCTTATTCAACATGCATTTAATTTTTTTTTTCTTCATCGTTAAGTAGGTCTACATAGAGCTATAGCTGTACACATTAGGCGTTGGGCTTTCGACGACCGTTAGTAGGGCGTGTGCATTAGGTCAGTCTGGTGATGGATGTGGAAGTGATTTGGATTTCATCAACAAATAGATCAGTATCGAATGATCGTACTCCATTTCGATCAACATGCGTCCACTCTACCCCCAAGCGCCCGATACAGTCGATGCCCTAAGATAACTGACACCTTAGCCGACCTTTTGCTTCTGAGTGTTTTATATCGCATTCAACAAAAAACTGTAAAGGAATTCCAGCTTTTTGGTGTAAATTTGTATTTATATAATGTAATGAATTAAATATCCATTTTTTTTTAATTTCTTTAAACGTGATTCACTAAAAGGAACGGGGTAACCTAATCAACCGCCTGGGTTTTACACGAGATTTTTTTCCAAAGAAGCGGGTTTTAATCCATTTCTGCCCAAATCGTGACCAGAAAGGGCGGATACGTAATAGGGAATAAATTCCATACTTATTCCAAATTTTGACTTAAAAAATCTTTTTTAGATGAAAAAGAAACAACTCCTCATAATACGAGTACCTACCTTGCAATCATGTGGAATCGCATTACGAAAAACACACATTACGATTAGATGTTCAAGTAAACCAAATCAATAGACATGCAAATTGAATAGTCTAGATCAGAAAACGGTAAACATTTTGTGATAATATCATTAAATTTGAACGAAAATCGACTTACAACAAATATTTAGTAGTAAATAGTTTTTGCCCTCGATTTAGGGCATTAATGGGTATTACCCAATTAAAACCCGGGCGCCTGTCCAATCCTGTTCACTAATGATGCATTAAGGAAGTCATACCAAAATTAATTTTACAAGTCACAGGTTACAGGTTAAGTTTGTTATCACTTTTTTTTTCATATTGATTAAATCAATATCAAATAGACATAGTATATATAGTCAGGTATCTAAGGATATAGACTGTACAATAATATGGCGGCGCACGTACCTCGAAGCGCACTGTTGATGTCCGCTCAACGCGCGTTCTAACCAAAGTCTGACAACGCGTATTTGTGTGTCTATGTAATCGGATCTCTTGGTTCTTAAAACGCGCATTACCAAAGCGCGCCCTTCAAAACGCCAAATATATCCATGCCTTCAGTGAAAAACGGAATAAGAAGAGTTATGACCATTTGTTTGCGTGGTGCAATAAACCATTGGCTTCAACGTGTCCAATTACATAACATACCAAAAGGACATCTCTCTAGCAGTCTTATAACGTCGGTTTTTTATTGCATAGGGCATAACTCACTGTTTCTAGAGGCGTAATTTGAGTTATCTGGCATTTTTTATTAGTTTAAAGGTACAAGTGCTCTCAACTCAAAGTAATACATGTATACATACAATAGTACAGGTTTAACCAATAACTACAGATATATTTTTATATAAAGACACTTTTCCTTGTTCCATAATGACGGGGATAAAAGTATTACTAATCGCGACTATTGCCTTATTCCACAGTGTACACAAACGTAAAAAAAAGCATTCGGTATGTTCCAATGGACAGGATTGGTTATATCCGCGACTATACCGTGTTGCTATTGGTTAATAGTTAACAGAAAAGTTGTCGTTTTATTCCTTTAATGATTTTATATCTTTTATCAATGTAGTTAGTGCCATAAGTATTGTTATAACCATAAAACTGTCGCAGTTAAGGGAATAAGTCATATTATGTCTTGAGTTTTTTAATATAAGTCATGTTTATTACCTCTAAGCACTCATAAACAAGGACGCAAATCGAAAATACTTATATACTTATATACTTTAGAAAATATAAAAAAAATGACTGAATGTTTAACCAATACCTATGAAACAAAATCATAAAAAGTAATAATAATAAATGCGAACAACCAATAATCAACAAAAGTATGGTTTTTGGTCTCTACTTAGAATAATAACGCATAGAATGATAGTTTCATATCAAACGAACTGTCACAAGTGAGGCAAAAATCAAATTCATTTAGGCTAGTTTTAGTAGTAGGTTAATTTTCGGTTTTAGTGAATATTTATATAAAAATACAAGTTGAAACGCGTTACTTCCTTGTGGAATGTGATGTTAGTATCTATTTTATGTTTGTCTGACGTATTTTTACACTCATTTACCGCACATTTCGTCATTTTTAGCTAATATTCTGGAGCTGTTCACAGTGCAAGTTGGCCTTGAGCACTGAAGGCCCGCCCGCTCGTGTACGCCCATTGGGAGCGCTTCAATTTACCTCACTTAGCGTGTGCGGACTAGGTTTCTATGCGTTATTATTCTAAGGGTATTCCCTTTTTTACTGAAGGTTCCGATATACTAGTTATTAAGCAGACTGACGTAACGATATATTTTATGTAAATTTTGATAGGTGATAACGTGTAAGGTAGATTATTGTTCTAAAATCATCACATTTTAAAACAACAGTCTACCTTCCATAATTTATTAGGCGATGGTATTAAAGCTACGTCCTTGATTTTAGATAAAAAAGAGGAATTACCTGCTATAGCTCCACCTACAAAAGCCAGTACAATGGTGATTACTAAAGCGGCGAATTGGTACAATCCCTGTACATTTGCAGATCTTGGATGGTCCTGGTAGAGTAGTTAAAATAATGGATTAATTATTAATACAAAGATCGTACACTTAGAAAAAATCCTTCGGTCCGGCCGGACTCGAACCGACGTCTTCCAGCATACCGTGCCAGATGTTTTAGCCGTAGCGCCATTTATGAGAAATCTTAAATATTTCGTCACCCAGTTAGATACTTTTACAGCTACCAGCCCCGTCTAGAGATAATGGATGTTTATTATTATGAAAGAGAGTTCTTGCTGCTTTTACACTAACAGAAACTAAAAAAAATTGTGCAGCTACTTCCGTCAAGAGCTATCTAAAGAAAAAACGTTGCCTGCTACCTAGGCACGAGACCATAGTTAGCTTATTATTTTCTATATTTCATCATCATCATGGCGGCCATTTTGTTGTCCAATCTTGGTTGGAGGCCTCTTCCCTCTTCTTCCACTCTCGGCGATCTTGTGCCCGATTTACCCCGTCCCGACCTCCGTGTTCTCATTTCTATTCTTAATGCCTTATAGCTTTCACAATTTACGTCTCCTAATGTCTTATTATCTGGCATTCAAAAACATATAACCAAAATAAAGAATAGTAGCTACTTCTAAGGCGATTGAGTGCGTCCGATCTGGACCAAGTACAAAGGGAACCTGATATAAATTCGACGACATCCGAATCACGAAGTTTGCATAGAGATATTTAGAAAAAAATGTACTGTACTCCGTATCAGTTTCATTAACAAAACATAAAAACTCACCCCGACCATAGCTGGGAAAATAGTCCCCAGTTCTTTGCCATACGTGTCCTCTCTGGCTAGCATAGCAAAAATTATCGAAAGTATGCCAGAGTAGATTCCTGGCATGCCATGCAGATTGTTTACTCCACAAGTGTCTAGAACTCCACAATGTTTGGCTATCTTCGGCTGTAATAATAGTAATAAATGCCTTCATCATCATCATTCATTTTAGTAGCATTAGAGCTCCTTGTAAAAGAGTTCGTCCAGGGAAGTACTGCCACCTTGCCTATTTCTGCCATCAAGCAGTAATGCCAGCATTACTGTGTTCCGTTTTTGAAAGGTAAGGGTGCTGGTGAAATCACAGGACTGATGAGTTGCCAGAGACGGATGACCCTTCTTTCGTCTCTGTTTCTGGTTATATACTCTATGGTCCCGTCACTTGATATTATAAAAAAAAATATTCGTTAACGCACTATAAATATATCCCACTACTGGGCAGACCCGTCCCCTAAGAGGGCTACAAACCGACACTTTAGCGCAACGCGGGTTGGGAACTATACATGTTCTGCAACGGTTGTGAATCATCTTCAATAAGCAGGTTTCATAACGATGTTTTCCTTTACCGTTAGCGGGAGGTATTGATACTAGATTTTTCACAAATAAAATTCAAGGAAAAGTTTATTTTTTTGGTATTCAATTGGGTAAAAATAAGACGATCCACCCGAACCGTAAAAGCGTTAGTATTACAGTGGTAATGGCACAAAAGTCCATTCACTTTATAGTTTCATAAAGTAACATAGTCTCGGAAGTTTTGCTTTTATTAACTAAAAGATAGTTTATAGTTGGTGACCATTATATTTAAAGAACGTTTAATATTGAACATCCATTGGTTGTCGTAACACAAAAGTTACTAATGCTGTTTTTATGGAGAAATATGTACAAACGGTGGAAGTTTCTCCACAGAAAGAAAGCACCCAAGCGGATTCTGCACAGAAAGAAAACAGTTGGCGGCACAGTTTTCTTTCTGTGCAACAAACTGTAAAACTACAAAAACAGAGCCTACCAAGAGACAAGCTTTTACACAAACATAAATCCATCCATATTGCACGAACGAAAATTTATACCATGGCAGTGTGCCATGAGATGGATTGGTACAACATGGATCTATAGGAGAAATTGAAAAACCGAGATGGTTTGTTACTGTTTATAAAAACTTATGAATGAAAGTTCCACGCTGCATTGTTCACTGACGTCAATTTATAGTATACGAGTAATTCGTGTCCGTTGATATTTGTTAATTTATCTTTCTTTCTGTCTTTTATGATTCCACGTGACGGGACAAACAAGTCGTGCGGCTGGTGGTAAGCAATACGCCAGTCCATAGAAGTCGCAGTGTCACTCAGAACTTATACAAATCCCCTGTGCCTGTAATTTCATCAGCACCTTCATCCTTCAAGATTGGAACGCAGTAATGCTCGCACTACAGCATGGTGGTAAAAATAAAGTGGCAGTACTTTCCTGGACGAGCTCTTTCACAAGGAGCACTACTGCTACTATCTAACTATATTTATATCAGTGACAATAGATTATTTATTAATCATCTTTATTGCAGATTCGCGTAAAATGCAGTGCCACTCACCGTCAAATAGTGATACCCTAAAACACTTAAGATACCGGCCCCAATGCCAACAGCAAGAGCACCTCCAGCACCGATGTGTAGATTACAGATAGAACCTACAGCGACTCCACCAGCCAGGGTGGAGTTCTGAACGTGCACCATGTCAAATTTGGCGTGGCTGACAAGAGAAGATATCACAAAGCTTGTTACCTGAAATCATTATACAGAATAATATTGAACACAGAGTTACTAATATAATAATATGCTATCATGATACATTTCTTTGCATGCTACTACCACGTGAAAACATTAGATATGACAAAGCATTTGTGATGTCATAATTGATAAAATTGACCAAATATTAACCTAACATCCGCTCACTGGGACGATGATAAAAGCGATGCCACACGGACGTTGTGTCGGCGTTTGTAAAATATACAAAGTGCCACACGAGCAATGAGGTGTCGCATTGCAAAGCCGCATACTTATACACTGCAGCATTCCTCCCCGCCTCGTCTCCTGACCCCTTGTTCGATGAGCACGTGTTCCGTCGCCGTACGCACTGACATTGGCCATGGATATGGCAAATCTTTCGGATTCATAAGTAACACAGCGCAGCATCATCATACGTCGCAACGCCGACGTAAAACATCGTATGGCATCGTTCTAACTGTTGTCATGAAAGATTGTTTGATGTGTGTGTATAAGAATAGGTATATGTATGCACTATATATCTGAAGCTCAATTTACGTAGCCACGGAACGGAATGGAAGCAATTTTTTGTAACATAGCATAATGAACTTTACATCAATTACGTAAGGTAAACCAAATATGAGCTAAAAATAGGTCACGCGTTTTCCGGAGAATTCTCGCGCAGTCTCGGGAATTTCCGCAGCTATCGTATTACGTATATCTAGTTTATAAGTTACACAGTTGACATAAACACATTAATGTCTACCACTTTTGTCCAACGCAAGATGGCAATAGGTTTTACAAAAACAAATAAATAAGGCACGGTGAACAACCATAAAAATTATAAGAAAAGAATTTGTCCCTCTACTACATAGGCCTGTCAATGATTCAGTGTTAAAAAGCTGAACAAGGCTATACCCACTGTAGCAGCTGCCAATGACAAATAGGTGTTAACTACAGCCCGTGTGTACTCTGCGTCACTTTCAGTTAGACCAGAATTGAAACTTGGCCAGTATATCCATAGAAAAATTGTACCTGTAAAAGAGAAAAAACACGTTTCATAATTGCTGGTATGTTACTTTTACTGACGGATATTTTGGAGCAATTTAAATTGTTTCACATTTTAAACAAGGTAATTTTTAAATAAACTTGTACCTCTTAATGCGGTATTTCTATCATAAATTCAAACAATTTTTGGTCGGTACAACAAAAAATTTTAATTGATAAAAGAAACATTTTAATTTTCTGACAAAACTTGGATCAGCTATTGTTAGAGGTCAAACATCGCGTTAAGATTCAAATTAACGAAAAATAGCTCTGTAGAACTCTCATTTACTTAAAAGAAGTAAAGGTCTAACGATTTTGGTGGGCATCAAAACGATTTGGGAACTTGACACGTATTCAATTTTATGAACTGACAACCGTGTATCGATGGGTATTGTTAAGGAGAAAATATACAATTGTAATATTACTATTAATTGAGCTCACCAATCATAGCGGTGACGTCTGACGTATACTTTGGCCCATTCAATGAAGGCATAGCAGTAGAGATTGACTCAGTCGCTGCCTCTGTTGTGGATTTCTTGTCTCTGTAGGCGAAGCTCACTCCAAGTCCGAAATATGCACCAAATGCATGAATAGCGATTGATCCTCCCACATCTGCCGCCTAAAGGAAAAAAGATAAAATATTAACATAACAATATTTAAACCAACAATACAAACGAACTCAATAATATGAAACCTAGAGAAACATTGATACATTGAAGCATTAGCTTGAAATCCAGAATCACTGAAGCGAAAAAAGCTCTAGTTCCTCCGAACAACGCTGTAGACTACGGACTGCAGTCTGCATGTAACTAATGGTATATAACATCTAAGGAAATTGTTCGATACAAAGTGACACCATCATGTGACTCCACCTATAATCATCAAGTGACAACATACAACATACATCAAGTAACATCACACATGTTCGCATACTGTGGTGTGCAGCGTAATTCTGAATAACACTTATGCTCAATGTGTTGATGTTATTCCGAAATCTCAAATCTTTCAATTTCGAAATCGAAAATTAATTCAAATCTTATAAGATTGCCTATACCCGTCAAACATCTTTACGTTTATTTTTTATTGGTGTTTTCGTATATCAATGATATAATATCAGTGTTTTTCCTGCAAACTATGACAAACAAGACAAATCAACAAAAAATATCATCGGTTTATTTTTATTTGTCGCATCATCACCCTGTGCTACTGTCCCAAAATGTGGCCTGATTTATTTTCACGCTTCAGTCGATTAAGCGTAAATTGAAAAGTTGGTTATTTTATTTGCTGATATTATAAACGTGACCACAACAAAAAAAAGTTAGAAGAAGCTTGATTTTGAAAACGTGGTAATGAAAAAAATATATAAAGGAATTGGACAAAATCATTAACTTATTGGGCTCATTCTGAAATATTGAAAACTGCTTTTATTTCGTGAAAAAATTCTTGGAATAAGAAAAAAATTTAATGATTTTAAATTGTATGATTGGATTTACGTACCCGAAGGACATGTGTAACCAGCCACAAATTAGTGCAGCCGATAACAGTCTCAATGACAGCAAGAAACAAGAGTTGCGTAGAGCTGGCAAATCCAAGCAAAGCGCCAAAGGTAATCAGCACAGTTGCCGACATTATGTCAGCCTCTGAAAAACACATATCAATTTTAATGAAAATGATATTGGTTTTGAAAACGTTAAGTTTCAGGGCAGAAATTTCAATTACAAAATTTACGTAAGAATCTTGTTCATAAATTAATACCAGTCAGAAAGTAGACATGCAAATCAGAAATCAGAATCAGAACTGAAAAAATAGTTTACAGATAATCAATGGACAAAAAGACAAAAAAAAAAGAAAAAGAGTAGAAAATCACTGCTCATTAATGAATTGAAACATTAACAGATTATCTTACCAAGTAAGGAATGCTTCGTAATTACAATGACACCACTTTCCATTTCAAAGATGTTTTGGCATAAGATAGCCCATTGGATAACCAAAGATGCTAGAAGCAAATTCAGGCCAAGTGCACTGTAGCAGTACTTCTTGAGGAACGTCATGAGAAAACCAAAACCGATAAAGATCATCACATGGGTGCCTTCGAAACCTGGGGAAAAAAAACAATCTTATACAACATCACATTAAGGCTGAAACCTTAAAGAGTTTAGGAAACACTATGGCGGTGGAAAACCCGTACCTTAACCAGATTTAAATAAGCGCAATATCATTATTTGTATGTAGATTTTAAGACTTTGGTGGTTATTCACTAAATCAATCAATTAAAAAGCCAGTCTACAGTCCAGTACAGTCGGGAAAATAAAAAGAACAATGTAAATATGAGAATCAATAATAATTGTTGCTTCTCATTATAGGTAAAGGACAAATTTTAGATGTTGATGTTAAAACAAATAGACAAGTTGATTTAATTTTTTTTAAATAAAACATATAGATACACATTTCGAATAACACAATGGATGTTCCAGGATTCAGGAGGTCTACTCTTTTTCAACGAAAAACGAAATTTCGATCGAAGTTTCGCATGTTTCTTACCACAATTCCATTTCAATGCGAAATTTCGTTCGAACGAAAATTGTTTGACGATTAGTTTTTCGTTACCTTACTCTAATTCATCCGAACGAAAATATGATTTTGACAGATAATTCTTCAGAATTATAATGTCAAATTGACGAAACTAAAAGTGCTACTTTTTGATTTTCATAAATGTGAATTTTGTTAAAAATCTGATCGAAATAACTGTAACAATGCTTTCGTTGATCGAGGCTCTGCCTGTAGAACGTTCAGAGCGTAGGAAAAACCATCGTCGCCGCCAGTGCAACCAACTACGTATAAATGTGAAATTCTCGACTTATAGTTTGCATGAAATTACAAACTCAATCGGCAATTTATTATTACATATATCACAATGCACATTTCTATTTGAAGAGTAGTACCAAGAAATAGTGTCCTTATAACTTTCAAAAGAAAGGCGTTATTGAAACGAGCTCACGATTGTTGTTCTCGAGTTGGGAGAAAATGAACTCCAAGGTGAAAGAAGGTTGCCTCCGAATTTGCTGTTTCTTCAACTCAAGCTCTACATGCTTTCCGAAGAACAAGAGTGTTAGTGCAAATTTTGGAAAACTTGTACAAAATAAAGTTCTACCCAAGGAAATAAAGATTGTGAGGTTGATTAAATAAAATCTGTTTATTGCATTATATTTTTTGCTTTTTTTAGGAGATAATAATTGCGAGAAATCTCGCCAAGAGCTTCAAATGCTTTCATTTTCATATTTATTTGTAAATATTATGTACGATAAGTTTACAAAGAATACAATAGAATATAGCTTCTAATATACGGAAATTTTTGATTGTTATACTTTTGCATGAAATGGTACTCTTGAAATAAATCGGATAACAATGAGTATTCTAAAGCGTCTCTGCTAATTACGTCAAAAATATTTTTTTATTTGTATGTTTATATTTTCTGCATGAATATTACAATAAATGCTAATTGTAATGTAATGTAAAATTTAAAAATAAAGCAAAACAATTGTATTAGTTTTAAGTTAAAGTAAAAACCGTAATTTATCGTAGTTGACATAAAAAAAGACCTACATAATATCATTCATTCCAGTCGTTCACGAAAATTGTAAATGACAACGAAATTCTTGGGTCCGGCCGGAAAAGAATTAGAGTAAAGTTATTCACGAAACTTCGTTTAAATATCGAATGTTAAATCTAATCTAATATAATCTTCGTTTTCAAGAAAGAGAGTAGATCTCCTGATAATTCTGCAAACAAGTTGATAAAACGATATTGCCATAACAACGAAATGACAGACATAACAATTTCTAACTCGTACTAAATTAAAACTAAGTTAAACCCTTTTGTCAAGGTCAGGTCAATTTCTATCTTTCAAAAATTTCTACGAATATTAAGTGTTAAATTTAAATATTGATTCACGGATAATAAATTCGAGTATGTTGCAAAATTGTATACATATTTAGTAATTTTCAAACAGAGTTCTGAAATAAATGTGTATTACTAACTAGCTTTACTCACAGCGTTATGAATTTTTCTACAATGCCTCTGAAAGAAACATACAGTTCGTCTTTAAGCTTGGTTTTGGACACGTTTGTAGAAACAACTAATACATATGATTATTTAAAATAATCTTAGTACAGAGTACAAAAAACCGACCTCAAAAGTCATTCATCCCCTAGTTTGTCACCCTTACAGGTGGAATATTTTTTTAAAATTTAATTGGTACTACTACTGAGGTACCCTCTTTCCAACAAAAAACGAATCATCAAAATCGGTTTGGAGTTATCGCGTAACATACATACAAAAAAAAACACTCGAATTGAGAACCTCCTCTTTTTAAGTCGGTTAATAGTAATAACGACGACGAAACCCTGTATCACGGTTGCCATAGACACACACAAATTACACCCAAACTCACGCTCAAAATAAATGTATTTCTCCCGGCTCGGGAATCGGAACCAGAACCTCTGCGTGGCATTCCAGCATGGTAACTAAAATGTTGAAAGCCACAGACCGATAACCATAGTTCCGAATATATACAAAAATAATAGAATCTATTATATCAACAAGTATTATGGATCATTTCGAAATGAACGATATGTTATCAGATAGACAATATGCTTATAGGAAAGGTAAATCCACCGTAGTTGCAGCACAAAATATAGTAGATTCTATTATTACCAGTATAGATGATAAGTATAAAACTGCAGGCATTATTTGTGACCTAACAAAGGCGTTCGATGTAATTGAAAATGATTTATTAATTCAAAAGTTAGCGTATGGCGTTATAGTGTATGGCGTCAACGGAGTCGCCCATAACCTATTAAAGTCTTTTTTATCAAACAGACGGCAAACGGTTCAGGTCAGTACAAACGGTACAACAACTAGTTCAGCGGCTGGTGACGTCACCATTGGCATCCCACAGGGATCCGCCCTAGGTAATACACTATTCCTAGCATTCGTCAATGATCTGCCATACTTTATATCAGGGGGTCTTGTAGTTCTATTTGCGGACGATACAACCGTTATAGTGTGTGCTAAAACCTACAACGAGTTGGAAGAAAAATTAGCCTGCACGTATGAGCAGCTGTGTGAGTGGTTCTCTGCGAATGGACTTATTCTTAACGAATCGAAGTCAAACCTTATGTTGTTCTCAGGAAGAAATTCTATAACAAGGCCAATTATCACCTCCATTGTTCCATTACGTAACACCTGTAAATTCTTGGGTTTAACGCTAGACTCAAATTTGAACTGGAAGTCACATATAGAAACTTGGAAGTGCTGCATACGCATTGAGGAAACTGCGTCCTCTTGTTTCCAATGTGGTATTGAGGCAGGCGTATTTTGCATATTTTCATTCGTTGATGTCTTATGGCATCACACTGTGGTGTAATTCAACTGAGTCGATTAGGGTATTTATTCTTCAAAAACGTGCACTAAGAACAATAGTAGGCATAAAAAAGGGTCAGACGTGCAGAAATCATTTTAAGAAATACAGTATAATGACCATGTACACTCAATATATTTATGATATAATAGTTTATGGGCGTCAAAACTTGGCTACTTATGAGCGACGTACGGGCGGAGGCCGAGCGTTACGAATTGTACAGTGTCGATGAGTTTCTTTTTAAACAATTTTAATTTTATTGTTATTCGACAAGCAGTAGTTATACTACTTTATTTTATATTCATTATTGTTATTATAATTTTATTATTGACGATCATAGTTATCCCTTGACATTGTATTTCCAATTGCAATATTGTGACATTGATACCATGAAATAAACGATTCTATTCTATTCTATTCAATTCTAACTATTTGATCACGGAGTCTGTTGAAAAATGGTTCGACTACTCCAGAAACTTTTGCGAGCGTGCGCCTAACAACTCACGAAACTTTAATCACAATCAGATAATATGAGTAAATAATAAAGGTGCGAGATACGGGATAAACATACTTACAAACATTCATTTTTATTTAGATAGAGTATGAACCTTAAAAACAATAATAATTATATAAACCAGGTATAACTATAAAAAACTGTTCTAAAAAACTATTTCTTTTTTACGACGCCAAGTGACGGGATGAACAAATCCTGTGCCAGTTGGTAAGCGACACGCCTGTCCATAGGTAGTTGCAGTTCCACTGAGAGCTTTAGATCGGAGGGGCGCTGCCACTGCGCTTATCACCCTGAGACATTAGCTGACAAGTCCCATGTCTACATAATTTTACCAGCACCCTTACTTTAATAAATAACTAAAATAAAATAAAATAACTGCCTCCGTGGCCGAACGGTTACCACGCCGAACTGCCACGCAGAGGTCCCAGGTTCGATTCCCGGGTCGGGAGAAATATTTGTATGGCCTACATTTAATTCTCTCGTGAGTTTGGGTGTAATTTGTGGTTTTCTATGTGTGTGTCCATGGTACCCGCGACACAGGGTTTTCCCTAGTGCGGGGCTATGTTGAGTGTGTGCGTTATTATAAAAAAATAAAATAGATGTAGTGATACTAGAAATAGGTGATATGGCAGTACTTCCCTGGACGAACTCTTTCTGGAGCTCTACTGCTACTATATTTAACTTAACAACAACTATACTATGTTTAACTTAACAAGGGTAAATATTTTTGTCTGCGATAAACCAGTAGGATTACGAGCAAGTAATATTAACCATAGCTCAACTAGTAGTACTGCAGGCATTTTTTTTCTTGACCAATAGAACTACGGGCAAATATTATTACCTACCAACATCTTATCCTTACAAAAACAACTTAGGTTAAAATATAAGCCACTGGATAATGAACTTCAGTATCCACATTTGAAAATTAATTATACCTAAGAACTAGGCCGTAGATATTATTATTTATTGCATATCGGGAAAAGTCGGAAGCCACGAATATATCCGAATGCTGTTTGCAGCGTTTATAGGTTATAAAAATATTAACCTCAGTTAGGGCGCTTTTAAATTAGAATCTTGTAGAATCGCTGGAATGGCGTGACAGTGGCGCTGCAACTGTGCTACTAAATATTGTGTAATAATTAGTAATGACACGGCTGCAGTGCTATTTTATAATGTCAAGTAACGGGATGAACAAGTCGAGCACCGGATGGCAAGCTACACGTCTTTCAATAACAGTTGCAGTGCCACTCAGAGCTTTAAATCGCAAATATCTTAGGGGCACTGCCACAGCGCCCGTCACTCTGAGACATAAGTTGACAGGTCGCACGTACCTATAATTTCACCAGCACCCTTACCCTTCTAAACCAGAAATAGCGCTACGGTGATACCGTAGCATAGGTGATACAGCAGTGCTTCTATAAGCATCTAATTTGAAGCCGCCCTTAATCAATATATAAATATAAAATATAAAATGAAATTCAGAGATAGATAAAGCTAATAAAGTTTCATATTTAATTATCATTAACACTCCATGAACAAAACGGTAACTAATAGTCGCAGATACAATGTTCGGAAGTTTTCGTGGTTTCCGACTTTTCCCGATGTGTAATATTTACAACCTGATGCTGTAATTTATATGTAGATAATATTAGCAGATTTATTATAAGGAAATTTTGTGGAAAAGCTAAATTAGATCTAATGAACCTTTTGTAACTTATATAAGTAATATAATAATAATAATAACATTATGTACGTAACAAATTTTGTGCTTGTCACAATACTACGTGTGGTATTTACATAATCTTGCAAAACCACGCATTTATAGGTTCCTTGTCATCAATTTGTAGAATTATAGTTGAAAGAACTCTTGATTTGAAATATAATGTTCCCTTTTTGTCTTTAAATAACAAAAGCAAAGTTTATGATATTGATAACCCAGAAACAAAAATCGTGTTTCATAGTGTAATTTATTAATTTTCACTCAAAAAAGCAGCTTATGAGCTATTTGAATGTATGGGACATAATATTTATGGGACGGTTTTGTGATATCGACTACTTAACTGAGTGACTGGCGCCCACGGTAGGTTTGAAAAACCTATGTGTATAAGTCCAGTCTCACATTTGTCTACATAAGTTTTGTGCGAGCGAACCTGCACAGGGACCACTTCATCCGGTTCTCTGTAAGGCTAGTGCCTTAGGTGAGCCCCCCTGGTGCGCATACAGCACACTCCCTATTCTCCAGATAAGTACCGGAGCTATAGGCACGCTCACTTTCCGTCGCGCTCCGCACGACTAACGGTTGCCACCGCTGAGCCACCGAGTCTAAGTCGGGTACCAAATCTCCTCATTGATGGCGTAGCCGTAAGGCACGGTCACTTCTCGACGCCAAATGAACAGCGTCTCTCCAGTTCCCAAATTCCTACGCGGCCGGAGGGATCGGAAGATGTCTAGATCATCCATAGCTCTAAGGGCTATGTCAAGTAGCAGTATCCTGCGACATTGTTAATGTTAGCTATCGACTTAAAGGGCAACTCACGTGTCCCGCGCGTCTCATCGCCTCAGGCCCTCAACTAGGCCACGACAGACGAACGAGTTCGTTCCATGCAGCTAATCTCAAACTCCGGTGAGTCCATACTCAAGTCCGGGTCCGCCAGAGACTCCCGTGAAGGCGTGTTACTGGCGGAGGGCATGGCCTCAACGCCCGCCGTACCCTGGTCTTGCCGTCGAGCCCGTAGTCTCTCCGGAAAACCTTATCTCTCGGGTCGGTAGATGGAGACTATAGGCTCATTGGAAGTGGACTGTAATGCTAGTGGAGTATACTAACGTATAATATTCGAGAAAAAGAAATCACAAATTTTAGCCACGTGTGCGACGGCGGCGACCGTTCCGCGAAGAGCGTTTTGATTTTTGTTTTTTTAATTTTGCTGGTTACGGCCCGCTCGGAGCGCGGGCAGTGTTGTTGTCTGTCCTAGACAGTGTTGCCGCCAAACTCTCACCCCTCGAACAAGTACTATGTTTACAGCTGTAATTAGCTTAATTTGATAAGTTTATTATATTATATTATATTATAAGTACTTACATTATTTTTAAAGATTAACTACCTCTGTGGCCGAACGGTTACCATGCTGGACTGCCACGCAGAAGTCCCGGGTTCGATATCCGGGCCGGGAGAAATATTTGTATAGCCTACATTTATTTCTCTCGTGAGTTTGGGTGTAATTTGTGGCTCTCTATGTGTGTGTCCATGGCACCCGCGATACAGGGTTTCCCTAGTGCGGGGCTATGTTGACTGAGTACGTAAAAAAAAAACAAGAAAAAGTAAGATTATGTGACATTGTTCGTCCAGGGAAATATTACTAAGTTCAACCGCGGAGGGTGTTCGTACAATAATAACAATGTCTAACAAATGAAGAAGACAATCCTGCTTGATACGGTACATATTCTTCGCCGGTTCTTGAATCGGCGAACAATACGTCCCGTATCGAGCCGTTCTGCCGCCAAGCAGTAATGTGAGCATTTATGCGTTACGGTTTTGAAAGGCTGGTTTTGCTGGTGAAATTACACTCATATGAGACATGTTTTTATGTCCATGTAACAAGAGCTAAAAAGAGGTTGCACATTTCGCTTCTACTCGGGCTTTATTACATCGACTTAAAAGCTTTTGTGGACAGATTTAAAGCGATTCCGTACCGATGTGTGATAACAACCTTAAGCGTAAATTCACAGACATTTTATTTATGTGTTGGTGCTGGTAAAATTACAGGCGCATGAGACTTGTGAATATGTCTCAGGGTGACAGGCGCAGTGGCAATGACCCTCAGATTTTTGCGTTTAAAAGCTCTGAGTGACACTGCAATTATTATGGATAGAGGTGTCGCTTACCACCAGACCCACAAATAGTTCGTCCCGTCATTTGGTGTCATAAAAACGTAGTGTCCAAGTTTTGCTCAGCCCCTTTTACCTTTTAACCATCGACATTGTTGTTGTATGGTTGGAAAGAACTATTTTCCCAGAAGACGTATTTTCCCAGTGAATACATTTAAAAAATAAGAAGATACGAGTAATTATTTTTCACTTACAGGAAATACGATGTTGTAAATTAATTCCACCTATTTCTTGAGAGAAAACGAGAAAGAAAAAATCCAATTACCTTACAATCAATCAGTGTCAAAACCCTCTTAATGTTAATGGGAATATTTATTCTAGAATAAGTATTGGTTTTGTTAGCTTTTAGTAACATTAATGTATTAGAGTATTAATGATGGGGAAAAGGGTTTTGTTTCTCAAAGTTACTCGGAAACACTGGCATTTCTATTCATAACAAAATAAACTTAAGGCAGGAAATACAATTACACTTAGACCTGCAAATTTTCCTTCAGTGTTTTAAAAAATTATAAAGTATATAAATATTCCAATAAAAATGTGGAATATTTTTAGTATATTTAGTATTAGTACTATTGTAAATGAATATTTTTTTTGTGGACGGTTTTTTAATACTCTGTACTGAGATTATTAAAATGATATCAAGTGACAGGACGAACAAGAAACGTGGCAGTACTTCTGTGCACGAATACTTATAAAATATTTTTGGTTGTCCACATACTTTCATTGAGTATGAAATATGTATCGTTCTTTGATACACTTTACGAATTTTATTTACATTCTGCGAAAAAAAATTGCCTTTGCCCTGGCAATCATCTTTTCCAGAGGGAAAAACAATTGCTGGACTAATATCATAAAAGACCGATAAGGTATTCTATGATATTATTAAAGGTCTATAGGAATATAGCTGAATCTAATAACTAAATCGAATCTAAACTCATATTCAACAAGCAAGCGCTTATCAACTTTATCAATAGCCTGTGTTAAGTCTGGAAAAAGTCCCAAAGGTTTTGATATCGGTATAGTTTCACTTGGCCAACCAATGAGTGCAATATATTATATAGAAGAACTAGACCATCACTTGGTTGTATCCCAGTCAATTTAGATTACACCTTCAGAAATATTTTCTCATTCGTAACCCAACAGTGTAGTAACAACATGGCATTTTTTTGCATTATCCATAATAATCCGTAATAAGAACAACATTCCTCGGTAATAAGAACACAATATCCAGGATTAATACAATTCCTTTATCGAAAACGTATCAAGTTTCCGATCATTTATTACTTATTCCTTCTAATAACGTGGGATCAAATTACTGGTCCCGGATCAAGAGATATAAGCGATAATAAAGGACGATTGTTCCTAAGACGGTGAACGAAGTGTTGCATAACTATCGATAGTCAGATAATCGATACATTCGATAGGTTTTGAAAACAATATAACCAAGTCTGTCGATGGTAACGATAAAAGTATCTATATAACAGCATCGGTATCGATATTATCAATAAGACGATATTCTGATACTATTGGAAATATCTAATAACTATTGACAGCGTCAAGATATTATGTCTTTTCTTTATGATCGGTTTCGTATCGATTGATCATCGATGTTTTGCTATTACCGTCCAACACTACTCGATTAGAAACCGTAGGAAGGCGTATCTAGTTACTTGTTTACGTGAAGTCTCCTTTTGTTAGTAGTAAGTTTATGAGAATATTGAGACGTCGTGGAATTGAAAGTGTTGTAATATCAGATTCTAGATTCTGCTCGCGTCATTCCCATGAATGAAGTTTTTTTTTGCAGTGTGAGGCGATAACAATATGCTGTATCCATCTCATGCATTTATATACAAATATACACTACACGTCCTTTTCTCATTGGGGTTGACAGATACCAAGCTTCAACTTGCTACGACCTTGACACACAGCTTTCGCCGCATTAATGCTTTCATAGACGCTCGTCGTTCAAGAATAATCATGATTGGGCCTTTCTTTAGCCGCTCACGTGATACATGCAGCCGTAGACGCATACCACACCCAGAGGTGCCGGTGATGATTTTATACCGATTTATCGGATATCGAAGTTATAACAGGTAAAAGAACTAATATTAATTGCTATTTCGGTAATTACTCTAGCAAACCATAAAGTTTTTAATCCCTGGGTCTGTAATTAAAAAAAAATAAACAACTTCAAAAATACGTCACGACAATCGTGTGTGTTATTGTTTGGGCTGGTGATTTCGGTGTTTATTTATTGAAAACATACCGTAAGTAGCGTTTTTTAAGTTTACCCTGAATATAAGTGTTTATAAACTATACTTTAAGGAGAAATTTCATGGTAAACGTTAGAACCACTCAAACGGAATATTATCATATGTATCCAAGTACACCAAAAATTTCATTAGTGCTTTTTAAGTGCAGGATTTGCGGTGTATTACTGCATTTTATTTGAGATGTTTTTGTTGGTAGTACGGGGGTATTTATTGAGTAATGCAGAATAATAATTTTTATTTATAAAAACTTGAATTTAAACTGAATCCTTTTCTATTTTGCGAAACCAAATAGCCGCCATTTTGCGGTAGGAGGCCTGGGGGCATTAAAAACTTTATGGTTTGCTAGAGTAGTTACCGAAATAGCAATTAATATTAGTTCTTTTACCTGTTATAACTTCGATATACGTGAGCGGCTAGAATGCCATGCATTTGCCACCTTGATAAACGAGTCTACAGTTATTCTTTTTCGCACCTCTGAAGAAACTCCTTGATTTGAAGCAACTTTATGAAAACAAATATTATAAATGTGAAAGTAACTTTGTTTGTTTCTTACGTTTTCACGTCTAAACCGCTGAAGCACTTTTAATGAATTGTGGTATAGTGATAGATGGGACCTACAAGAAGGACAACTTGTGTCACAAAAATAAATCTTAAAAGAGAGTGAAATAGGTGATGAAAGTTTCTTAGTACAGTAGGCTACTCAAAGTACTTATGCTACGTAGACAAACTCACGGGCACTAGCTAGTTTGTTATACATTTAGGCATTTGCAGTATGTTATCATCTAATATAATAAATATGATAATGGTACTATTCGTCTTGTTGTGTCCCTTTGACGCCATCTGCTAAGCCGTTGTCATAATATGATATAGTTGTATACGTAACTTCACAGCGAATTGCCTATAGTAAGACCGGATTCACCCACTATGGTACGTATCTGGCGTAATTTTAACACATACCTATAAGATCAAGCAGTTCCCATTTCTATTACAGAAAAGTCACTCGATCGATGTGTGTGACTTGACGTTTTCAATTCAGTCGATTTGCACTTCGCTTCGTATGCAGAATATTCTGTAGTCAGCGATTTTACAATAAGATTTGATTATGGACTTTACACTAAATGGTGTCTTATGTGTAGTCACAAGTTACGTTAAAGTTAGTTTATTTAATACCAAGTGATGGGACGGACAAGTTGTGCGCCTGGTGGTATGCGACACACCTGGCCATAACAGTTGCGGGGCCACTCAGTTTTTTGACGTAACGACGACAGACTGTCGTGATAATAGGAAGAACAAGAACGACAGTATACATATAACATACATATAAATATGACGTCACGACAAAAATGTGACGACAGATAATCGCAGCTTCAATCGATTCTGTCGTGCAAACGTACTGCTGTGAACTTATAAAAACCGATAAATCCTTTACACAGTTTGTTTTCAAAATGCAGAAAAAACTCAAAAACAGTTTGAGTTTTTTCTTAAAATGTTTTCGATATTACAATATTTTAGTTTGACACGGTAGTTGGGCC